TGAAAGTGCTCGGAAAGCACATTTAAGGGTGTTTCACTGGAAACCAAGACCAAGATCTTTGCATCCCAGATCACTATGTCTGAGTGTGAAAACTGGACAGAGAAGAAAGCTGACAGGAAGAAATTGATGCATTTGAAACATGCTGTTGGCAGAGAACTTTGCGAATACCCTGGATGGACAGAAAAACAAAGATCAAACCAAGCCAGAGCTTTCCCTGGCAGCAACATTTACAAAACTTTGAGATCTGAAGAAGACAAGAATGCCAAGGAAAGTCGAAGACAGAAGATGAAGGGGAAGACCGAATGTGAGATAGATTGAATCCATAGAGGAATCCACAGCCTTGAGTTGACAATAGCTGAGCAGGGTGTCAAGGAAAGGACAGGGTTTCATTCACAGGGACTCCATAATCTGGAGGTGACTGAACAGCATGTAACAGCCACAGCAATGCCTTCCTCAGTCGTCTGCACTAAGGAAACAGAGCAGGTCCAAACGAAAATGGAGCTGGGCTACAGTTCCAAAATATGTGCACGCATTCATGTACAGCTCTTATTGCCAGTGGTGAAGGCATAGGAGAGTATTTTTGACTTATTGGACTGGGGGGAACCTGAACAAAGGCTGGGAAGCCACAAAGGTTGGGAGGGAGGGGCCGAGCTATGGGAGGGGGTTCATTGGGATTGGACTGGATTGGGACACCAGGAGAACCAGGTTTGGGACCCAGCCTCAGCTTCTTTACCATGGCTGATGATTTGGTGAGTGCTGGAGGTAGAGAGAGTGTGTCTGTGTGTTTGCGTCAGCTCCGTTGATTATTTTCATGCACAGGAGGCATATAAATGCTGTAATAAAGAAAAGTAGCTTGTTTTTAAAGAAGCCAACCAGTGCTTTATGTACCAGGGTGTTGGTGCCAACTGGCTGCCTGAATACTGTGCTTGACTTGGCAAACATTTTCCCTACTGCAATGAAGAATGCTCAGAAATGGGAACTTGGCACATGAGGTGGGAAAAGGTGGATTCTAACCATCTTATCCCCCACCTCTGGGAGGGATGTTTTGTGATGTCTTAGCTTCCTTCAGGTTTTCCCTTGTCAGACCGGGGCCAACAAGTGCAGCTGTTTTCTTGCTCAAGCTTTGGTTAGATCTTGCCCCCCCCCACCCCCCTGCAATCCAGCTCAGCTTGGTGGCTGAGAAGCAAGCCCAGGTAATCAGTAACTGAGTGTGTGCAGCCAAAATGGTCCTCCCATGTTGTAACTGAGCCTCTCCTGCACCAGCTGAGGCTGTTCTGCAGGACAGGACGATCCACTGAGCCCTTCCCTTTCCCCCACTCCCGCTGTGCATGTACCCAGAGTTAAACGGCTCATTTGTTTTGGCAGTATGTCCTCTGCGTGTTCCAAATCCAGCCCTGACAAAAGTCCTTTTTGGTTACCCACTTTGCAAAATCACACAGATGCAGGTTAAACACAGATCACACCTCATGGGACAAATACACGCACACACTTTTGCATTGGATGCCTATACATCCTAAAATTTAACATGCATGCCTTAAAATTTAATAGGCATCAGAATCAAGAACTGGCACTTTCTTGCTTTGGTTTGCATGGCGATTGCAAGCTATTAATGGATTTAAACATCAGAATAATCAGTTAGTTTTTTATTTGATTAAGTGGTGAGGGCCAATTAATCAGCTTTTTCCATGAGCAGATGTTCTGAGAGCACAGCACTGGTTTGCATTGAGGTTATTTGGTTCAGATGGGCTTGATTTGGGCCAAGAGCTCTCGCATCTGTGGCAGAGGACTAGAATACGACCCTAGACGCACAGAGGGGAAAAGTGAGTCTCAGCAATCCTTTATCTAGAAATGAAGCACTGGCTGCTTTAATGTAATTATAATCAGCCCTTCCTTCTGGTAATCGAGGGGAGCTTTCATGTATGAGACCACAAGCAATTCTGAGCTTTCTTCCAGACACATATAAAAGTCACTTATATGGAGGATTTGAGTATTAGCAACCATGCTGAAATTTAATAAATTAACTCACTAATTCCAAAGCAAACAACAAATCAGTCCAGCCTCACACCATCAGATGACAGTTCTAGTTTACATAAATTTTGAGACAGAACTGCATTCAAACAAGGTGCATGTTCTCTATGGACAAAATGACATCCAGAGACTCTTGGATGAGAACAGGAAAAGCCAAGCCAAGCAAAGCAAAACAAACCTCTTCAACACAGAGAAATGGCTGGAGTTAGGAAATCTCTGGTTCAGATCCTGACTCAGCCATGAAGCGTACTGGGTTGGTCCGCTCACCATCTTTCCCAGTTATCCTACCTCACAGGGCTATGAGGATAAAAGGGGTGTGTGTGGGGAGGAATGTTACACACACTGCCTTGACCCTTTCTGAAGAAAGCTGCAGTAGAGCTTTGACTGTTGGGCAGTATAGAGATTAATCAAGCAATATTAAGAATTACTTAATGGGGCATAATCTCCCCACTTGAATATTCTCAAGTCTGACTGAAATGATAGGAGCTGGTGCAGCTCCTTTTCTGGGCTCTTGTAAATCTTCCATTCATTTCAATATAACACAAAGCCAGGCTTTTAAAACCATGCAACCATAAACAAAATATGTCATTCTATGGTGGGGATCAGGGACCACAATTCCAAAAGTTTTGGGCAGTACAAAAATTGTGAAGGATGCATATAATATCACGGTCAAGTCCTGAGAATTTTCTCCCATTTTGAAAAGGCTTCAAAGTGCAACGAAATGTGACTTGAGACAACCTAGCCAGTGAATCCAAAAAAGGCAGATGCAGAGATGGGCTGTGGCAGCATATGTGAATTACAATCACTTATGAGGGTGCGTATCCAAATTGATAAAAAGAAAAGGGGCCCTACTTTGTAGAGGGTGGAGTTTTTGCTTTCGTCTCTTCTGTTCATCTTTTAGAATTAGTATTACATTATGTCCATATCCTGGCTTTCCCCCTCTTTTGAGAAACCCAAGGCAGCTTGCAGGATCCTCCTCCCCATTTCATCCTCACAACAGCCCTGTGAGGTGGGCTAGGCTGGGAGTCCGCGGCTGAGTGGGGACTAGAACCCAGAGTTCCCGGCCCCCAGTCTCGCACTCTGGACCGCTGCACCACACTGCGCTGGTGGGAACCCAGGCTGGCTCTTTAGGGGCTGGCCCATTCCAGGCTCTCGCTTGTCTCCTGGGGAGTCGTTTGCTGGAACGGAGGCATCGGAGGAAAAGGTGAAGGGGATGGCAAAGGGCAAGGTGAGTTTGGCAGGTGCCTGCGACGGGGGTTGCGGTACTTTCCAACAGGCTGGGCGTGCGTGAGAGGGCGACGGAGGGGCGGTCGTTAGCTCCCCGCTCCCCTCCCCTCGGAGGCTCCTCGTCTTGCAGGTGCACCGCGAGCGGTGGACAATGGGTCCTTTGAGAAGGGAGCCGCCGCGCCGGGGGCGGGGAGGCTGTCGCGCGGGGGCGGGCCCTGCCAGGGCCGATGACCTCCAAGTGCTTTATAGATGCGCCACCTCCGATGCGGGGCAGCCGGGCAGACTTGCCGTAAACGCCAGGACGCCGCCTCGTGCCTTTCTGTTTTGGGGTTAAACTTTTAAGCCAGCTCTTACAGTGGCCAGAGTGTGGGACCGGGACTCGGCCCCTCTGGGTTCTAGTTCCCGCGCGTTGGGTGACTTTGGGCCAGTGATGGACTCAGCCTAACCTACCTTGCAGGGTTATTGTGATGGTAAAACGGGAGTGCGGGACAGCCAGCGTGCCATAGGGGTTATAATGTTTGACCGGGATTTGGGAGCTGTGGGGTCTGGTCTCCACTCAGCCATGGAGAGCACTGGATGGCTCTCAGCCTAAATCTACCTAGCAGGGTTGTTGGGACGATATACTGGAGAGACGGAGAATCGAGTCGACCGGTTCCTTTGAGGACAAAAGGCGGGATATTAATGAAATAATGCAGAAATATAAGAAATAATTCAAGCACGGTTGGACCTCAGTCTGGTGGGACCTGCTTCTTTGGGCGTTTTCCACCGATCTAGAAGCCGGAGAACTGAGAATACTGATGGAGAACCAAAGAACGAGGCTACCTCTGAGCGCATCTGGAGCCTGGATTGTGCTTGGAGGACCAGTGCTCATCCCACGTTGGCCGAGCTCACTTCGCTTCAGCAGCTTAAATCAAACGTGGACATTCCTACTGCTGCCACACACCGGGGGGCGCGGGGGAGCGATCTGCTGCAATCACCCGGGGGTCTCCCAAAAGGGCCTGCCCTCCTTTCCGCCGATCTCTGCTTCAGGGCACGCTACGCCGGCTCAACAACTTCGGGGCGATCCGTTCGTCGTTGGGACTATTTCATCTCGAACAGCACCCTGGTCTTCGCATTGCCGCAGGACGCGATCGAGTCCTTAGTAGCAAAAACGCGCCCCGGCACCCCTCTTGTTCCCCGAGAGCTGAATTTGCGCAGGCTCAGCCACCCCCCCCCCCGCCCTTTGTTTATTCCTCTGAAGCTGCCGGACTTTAACCCTGGGGAATGTGAAGGAGGTCTAGGTGGAAGTGCCCCTGAACACGTGCAAAGTGCATTTCCTCTTGGGACTGGAGGGGAAAAGGCTGATCGGAGGGCCCACGGCACGTTGCCTCCAGACGGCGGGGAGGGAGTATCTCTTTATCCAGATAGAAACCCTCCTCGTCAGGGAAACCCCCTTTGGAGGCTGCCTACGGAACCCAGGAGTCCGGCCCTCTCCCTTCCCTTGCGGGCCACCCCGGAACCACCAAGATTGCGCCCCCCCCCCCCCGTAACTCTGCCCCCCCCCGAGCCTAGAACGCCCCGGGCCCGCCCACCTGCTAGCCAGGCCCACCGCGGGCTCCCCAGCGCTCTCCCTTCCCTCGCCCCTCCAGGTGTCCGTCTGGTCTTAGCAGCGGCTTCCATTGGGCCGCCGGGTCGGCCTCGTCCCGCCCGCCCCTGCCCGTCTCCCCGGGCGTTCCTCCCCGCCGGCCCCCCACCCTGCGCCGGCCGTCGCCGTCCCGAGCCTTCGACAGCTCCCTGGCGCGCGGCGGCGCCTCAGCCCCGCCGCCGACCCTCCCCTGCGCCCCCAGCCATGAAGATCGCGCCCCGCTTCGCTGGAAGGCGAGTGTTCCGGCGGTGAGCCCTTCCCTGCGGCAGCCCCCCGCCCCACGGGACGTGGGGCGACGAGGTAAGCGCTGCCTGCGCTGCCGCCTCCCGCGCGAGCCCCGCGGCGAGGGGCCCGCAGTTGGGGCGCGGCCCCGCGCGGAGGACCAGGGCTCGGCCAGGCGCCTGCCCGCCTCCGCCCGAGGGGCCCCGCGCCCTTTCCCGCGGGCCTCCCTTGGCCCCGGCCGGCGGCCGCCCCGCGTTGCCCGGGAGGTGTTCCAGCTGCCAGCGCGGCCCAAATGTGGACGAACGCTGCGCGCCCTTCAGGTCGCTTTGGGTTATGGCCGAGATACGGAGCGTTCCTGATCTCAGGCTGGAAAGGGCCCTCTTGAAAGATCTGATATTTTGTTTAGGTTTTGGTTTGGGTTTTGTGTCCCCCACCCCCTAAGGAGGGCAAGGGTTTAGGAAGGGATAGCTCAGTGTTAAGTCTGCCTGTCTTCTACTGTAGTTTTTATCCTGCCCTGTAGCTTGAAAGGAACCCAAAGCAGGTGGTTTCTTGAATCTCCGTGTTATCTTCACAACATCCTGTGAGTTAGGTTGGGCTGAGACCCAGTTACTGGCCCAGAGGCACCCAGTGAGATTTATGGCCCAGTAGGGACTGGAACTGGATGGTCCTGAGTACCAGCCCAGCACCAACTACAGCAGTGCATGAGCTCTGTTGCTTTTGTTTCTTCCCCTTCCAAAGAGCATTATTTGTAGAAATCACATATGATGCATTCAATTGGGCACAATGTGAATTATATTCAAGCGGTAAGTCTTTTTAACTAATACTTAATGTGTACTAGAAAATTAGCCCATGTAACTCTTAAATAAAACATTGCAACATGGACAACAGTCTTATACTCTGTATAAGCTGCTGCAATTCATAGAGTGGCCAGTGTCGGACTACCATTTGGAGACACAAATGCTTCTGGGTCTGAGGAGCCTGATACTCACTGGGGGGCTTCCTCCTCCATCGGCCTGAAAGGAGGCGTAGCAGTGCGTGGGCAAGGCAGGGCTCACTTCACCTCTGCGCTGACCCCCTGCGAGCTGCAGGATGTCTTTGCAGGTAAAGGCAGTTTGTGCCCCACGCAGAGCGGCAAGTGACAGTCCCCTCCAGTCCCGGATTAAAGCAACTGGAGGACCTTAGCTAGGAGATCGGAGTGGCCCAAACATAATAGCATCTGATCATGAGAAGCAAAACCTCCGTCTCTCCTTTATCTGCTCAGTGAAAGCAGAACATTGCTGAATTGTTAGAATTGATAAAAAGATGGTTTATAGGTTTATAACCTGTAATAAGTTTAGGAAAGTATAGAATTGATGAAGATGTTCACACAGAACATTCATGGGAAAATTATGGATAATATTACACTATATAAAAAACAGAACAGTTTCTTTTAAGCCTTTTTGGGATTTATTTATTTAATTCCATTTCTATGCTGCCCCTTGACCCGAAGGTTTTCTGGGCAGCTTACAGTGGTAGACCAACAAAACAAGCAAACAAACAAACAAAAAAAAACCATTAAAAATAACTTAAATTACAATAGAACAGTTATTAATCAGAAAAAATAGTAAAACAATAAAATAACAATTCCATTAAAATCACAGTCTATGCAGAGAATGCTTAGATCAGACAACTGATCCTGGGGCATTGTTGATCATTCTTTATCCTTTTTAGTCTAGAAAATGATTTTTCACCAAGGTATGCCCCTGATTATTATTGTTACAATTGAAATAAAATTAATGGTAATTTTAAAATATTTTTGGCAGGAGGCCAAGGTCCCCCTAGATTATGAAGTCGTGGGCTGTAGCCCGCTCAGCCCATATGTAAATCCAGCACTGATCCCCACCCTCTAAAATCAAGGCACGTCGTGCCCAAGCTGAGTCAAGTTATTCTGAAACCAGAGGCAGAAAATCCCCAAAATGTCCTTCTCTTTCTCCCTGGCAGTAAAACATTCAGCAGGAACAAAAGAACAAACAGGCAGTTGCTCTTCTAGGGCACCCTAAAGGGGTTATGGCTGCCACCGTCAACTCCCTCTGCTTAATGGCTCGGCTGGGGCCAAAAGCCAGATGCATCTGCAATCATGCGGTGGCCTGCATGGACACCTAGCCCTCTCCTGGTACCCTCGCTTCTCGACCAGCAGGTGAGGTGCAATGGTAGAACCGTCCCACTCCCCTGCTTGAGAATTCCCGCTGCCGGGCCGCTGCAGGAGGGAGCGCGGCGCAAGAGTGGGACCGCCTTAATGAGGTTTGTTCTTGCAAAGCGGAGGTTCCACCGGGAAGGCGTTTGTCCCGAGAAGTACATAAGTTGTCCTCAAATTACAGTTTCAGCATCTGCTGGTGGTGGTGGAGGAGGAAGCTAGTGTGTGTCTGTTGTCCCTGTGGAGGTGCTGGGAAATTGAACTTACCTTTGAAGTTTGATGTCCTTGTTTGAAAAGTGACTCATCTGATTGAGTGAAGTGGAAAAAAAGTTGGAACACATCCCTGCTTGGTTAAGAGCACAAGAGTGGCTGTGCTTTGCTGTGCCTTTCCCAGCCTGCCACCCTGCAGATGTTTTGGACTACAAATACCAGCATTCCTGACCATTGGCCCTGTTGGCCAGGATGGATGAGTACAGAATCCTAGGCAATATGGAGAAAGCTGGGCTGGGAAAGCTGGCCAGAATTAACCTTGCAGGAGCAAACTTGAAGAATGCTCAGACTGGAGCTACAGGGCATCAGAAAATAATATGCTTACTTCTCCTCTTATGGATTTTCACACTGTTCCCTCACTGTGGGGTGAAGATATGAAGGCCATGGCTTGGTCAGGACAATGGCCTGCCCAGTCTGATAATTTGCTCCCACAAGTGCTGCTTTGGGGGAATCTGCAAACAGGACAGCTCCTTCTTGTGTTCTTTAGCAGCTGGCGTCAGAAACAAGTGGCCTCTAATGAGAACTAAAATAAAAAGCACCTCAGATTACTGTCCAGTGCTTAAATGAGAAGGAAGAGAGGTTGTGCAATGGCCTCCTCAGGTGCTGTTTTCCAAATGTCTGAGGGAAGCAGGGCTGGCCTGGCTATTGGGCAGAGCGAGCGAGCTACCTCAGGCAGGTGAGCTGCCCCCTCAGTCTTGGGGGGTGGGTGGGCATGAGTTGCAAGGCAGAGCTGTCTGTGCCATGGACTTGTTCTGCGCCCCTAAGCTGGCCTGCTGCCCTCAGGTGCCATGCTGGATGTGGCCCTGTCACCAGCGCTGAAGTACAAGCCAAGGTGGGCCAGCTCGTGGCACAGTGGACGGCATGACGTCTTCGTTTATTTAATTGGTTTGCATCCTGCCTTCTGCCAAAATGGCATGCAGGGTGGCTTCCGGGCACAATTAAAACTGATGAAGACAACACAGTACATTGAAATACAAAACTATGTAACAATTGCAAAAGAAATGAAAACAACACAGTACAGTGAAATACAAAACGATGTAACAATTGCCAAAGAAACGAAAACAACACAATACAGTGAAATACAAAACGATGTAACAATTGCCAAAGAAACGAAAACAACACAATACATTGAAATACAAAACGATGTAACAATTGCAAAAGAAATGAATAATAATGAACACCAGAAATAAAGCCAACAATCCCGCTTGTGAGCGAAAGGCCTTCCTGAGTAAAGTGCCCTTTGCCTTCTGCTGGAAGGAGAAGAGAGGACATCAACCTCACCTTCCTTGGGAAGGAGTTCCATGGAGAAGGCCCTCTCCTGGGTCCCCACCAAATGTGCCTCTGTAGGCAGCTTTTTGGGTACCATCTTTTTGTTGCCTCAGGCAGCGAAATGTCTTGGGCTGGCCCCTTACAGGATTGGACGAAACCTGGGTATAGTTGCGGCGAATTTCATTATGGGCCTACTCCCTCATTTCAGCTGAGCACCGTTTTTATTTGGATCCTCCCAACAGCCCTGTGAGGTAGGTTAGTGTGAGAGTGGGATTCCTTGGGGTTTCAGCTCAGCCGTGCTGCCTGGGAACAAGGGAAACTGCACCTCAGCATCTAGCGGGTATCAGTTTGGAGCAGCAGTTCCTTTCCCGCCAGTCACCTAAGCTAAATAGCTGAATTCTCTTTTAGTCTGCACCCAAATGCCTAAGGTGTGACTGAGAAAAATGTGTGTTTAGGAAAACTGAGTGTTGTACAGGCAGAAGGGGGATTTGCAACAGAATGCTGCAGTTTAGAGTTTGGGATTCCCTCATCTGGGATACTCTATTCCATTCCCCCTTCCTTACCCCCCATCCCCAAACCAATACTTAGGGTTCAATGGCCACTAACTATCCTAAGTCTTCACTGAGCCGGCTTTCTGGTACCTCCCTTATAGGGTAACTTCTAAAGGTTTGTTGTCCTTTGACAAACCTTGGAATCCCTGTTCTATCTTGCTGGTATCACTTTGGTTGCAAGAAACATAGAAACATAGAAACAGATCAAGTCAGAAGGGTCCTCCCGTGCCATCTAGTCTGACCTCCGGCACCAGCCGACTCCGCTCACGACGTGCTCACCATGGGGATGTCCAGCCTATCCTTGAACACCCGCACCAATGGGGCCTCAACGACCTCCCGGGGAAGCCCATTCCACACCCTCGGGGTCCTGACTGTCAGGAAGTGCTTCCTGGCATCCAAATGGAACCTTGGCTCCCTGAGCTTTGCTCTGTTGGAGCGTGTCCTGCCTTCCTCTGCAAGGGAGAACAGGGTTCTACCCACCTCCGTGTGACATCCCCTCACATACCTGTATTTAAGAAGATTGGTGCTTAGAGGAGGGGCTTTGTTGTTTCTATATAGGATGCCCATCACTGAATTGGGTGGCCATCCCCTTCCTGCGGTTGCCACAGCCCTGGGCTTGCTTCTGTGCAGTGCTGGAGAAGCATGCATGTGAAAGGCTGCTGCTGAGGCCCAGCCTATTCCCCTTGCTGTACCTTCTGTAAAAAACCTTCAAGCAGCCCAGTGAGAAGTGCCTCTTTTCCAGATAACACATGCTGTTGCAGTAAAACCACTGAGGCAGATTTGGCCACCCTGGCTTCCCTGGCAGGGCCTTTCCGGGTTCCCCAATGGGCATGCCCCCTTCCACTGGCCCTATTCCCCCATGCCTAGCTTTTGGTGGTTTCTCAGCTTTTGGGCAGTCCCACTCCTCCCACCAGCCAGCATTCAAGAGGGTCGAAATGCCTCTCCTATGGCTTGCTGTCTGGCAGCAAGAGCTGTTCAGCTAAAAGATGCTGGTAGGTTGACTCCACTCCATTTGAATTGGGTCTGGCCCACGGCAGGGATGTGGACCTGAGAGCTCTCCAAAAATGAAATTTGCAGTTTGCAAGCTGAAAAAGGTTCTGCATGCTTGCTTAAGATAACAGTTCTGTTCCAAGAGCATCTTCCACGCAGTCCTATAAAAGAATGGCAACTCAAGGAGCAGTTTAACATAGCAATACAGGGGCAGTTTCCTGGCTCCGGAAGAAAAAGCTACATCTTCACTTGGGCCAAAGAGTCTTTAGGTAGCATCTCTGCTCGAAGAGATGCTGCCTCTGCCATTTCTTCCCCACACTGGGTGATGGATCTTTGTGTGTGTGCTGCCATGGGTAGCTTGGAATAATGCTGAGCATGAAGACTTGGACTTAGTGCTTAGCGTGTTGATGTGAAACTACAGAAACCAGGGTCCACATCCCCCTTTGGCCATGAAGCTCATAGGATTAACCACACTCTTGCAACCTTCCTATCTTGCAAGATGGTTGTGAGAATAAAGTGGTTATGGGAGAACCATGTGAATCCACCCTGAGTTCTTAGAGAAACAATGGCATAAAAATGCAAGCAACAACAGCTTTTGTATGTTCAAAGTGCCTTACAAGTATTAACTCTGAATTCCTTGTAACAGTTCTGCAGGGCAGACCAGGAATAGCACCCACAGGGTGCACCTGGGGAGGCTAAGTGCTTAGGGTACACCTTTATGACTGAAGGAAGATCTGGACCAGGGACTTCCTTGTTTTTTAAATTTATTTTAAATTTATTTATTTAGAAAATTTGTAGGCCATCCATTACTGTCATCTCTGGACAGCTTACAACATTATTTGTTTTGCATTTTGCACTCAGACAGCCTGGTCCTATGGTGGTGTACTCAGAAGCATGGCCCACTTAGAACAATAAATGGACCCGTTTCTTAGGAGACCTACCCTTAGGTGATCCTACATAGGCTTGGAATTTACCCAACCTTAACTCTAAAAAGAGGAAAGGACTAGATGGCTATGCTGGCTCCAAGATTTTAGGATCCCTTGGTCACAACACCCGCAGTGGATTACTCACCCCTCTCTCCAACCTGGGTGAGGCAGGGCATGCAAACTATGAATTCTTTTAGGTTGTGCAAACTTGGATGATCTCCGCAAATTTGGAGTGTGGCTGTGGATCTGCTACGGTTCTACAGCTCCTGGACAAATGCCCAACTTTCCCACCCTCTGGAGCTGGATCTGCTAGAACGAAGGTTTCTGGAGAGTTAAGTTTCTTCTACCCCTTTTTTCCCTGCAGGGCTTCCAGGCACTTTCAAAGGTCTCTAATCCCACAGGGGCTGGATTTCTGGAGGGACAGTGTGGCGGGTTTGATGATTAACCATTTCTGAAATGGCCGAAAAAGACGGTGAGTTGGATCTTTCAAAAAAGTTCCCTGGACTTCATATTCCTTCCCCCTCCCCTTGAATCCCATGGTCTTGCAATCCCAATCTAGCCAGAGCAGGACTTAAACATTAACAATTCTGGCTGCTTTATACTCCTCTGGGAAAGGCACTGAGGTGCTTGCCCATGAAATGACCCGCGGGTGCCCTCTCTCCACGGTTCCCTTTTCTTCCTATGTGGACAAATTCCATATGGTGAGCTAGCATGGCCGCATGTTCTACTTTCCAGAGGACACCTCATTATTTGAAAGCTCCCCATTATTTATTTGAAAGGCTGGCCGATCCATGTCTGGTTTAAAGATAAGGAACTAGCAAAAGGGAGAGAGCGTATCAAAAGTTAGCAGCCAGACTGCAGCCTGAGTAGATCAACAAATGGTTGGTCACGGACTTCCCCACTAGGGTGAGATGCATTGCATATTTCTATATACATGCATTGTAGGACTCTGTGTGCGTGTTGTATAATCTGTGCCTCTTTTTTGTGGTACATTTCCTCTTTTTTAAAACTATGTATAAGTGGCTTCCCTCAGGTGAACTGAGCTTGCCTGTACAGACCCCAGATGGGCAACTGTGTGGGTTTGTTGTTGCAAAAATGGCAAAGATCTTGTGGCATGTTCAAGTCAAGCAATTCCCCCTGTGGACACAGTCCACTTCATGAGATGCACCTGTCTCGCATCTGGTGAAGCAGACAGTGTTCACACCAATTATCTATCAAATAAATATGTCTTAGTTTTTAAGGTGGCACAAGACTCTTTGCTGAATTAGTTTTCTGCAGCTGGCAATGCTGCAAGAGTTCAGAGATGCAGCTTCTGTGGGAATTTCTGCGACCCACTCAGACAACTGGTGGAACTCTTCACCCCACTGGGTAGAGATTAGTCCAGCCGTGTCTACTCCTGAGCTGTGTCCTTTCACTTCCGGCATATAAGAGTGGTACCCTGGAATGGGGACTTCTGGGTACTCTGTCAAATTGATGCCGAAGACTTGCTGGATCTGTAGCCTGTGCTGCTTTGAAAAGGCATTTGCTGCAAGGACACCTAGCTTAGGAGAACAGCCTTCCCACCAAGATCTGTGAGGGCGATGTGTGCCCCTGTCTCTTTCGCTGAGCATTGGCTTCAGGGCAGTGGGGGATTGATGCTAAGGGGGTGAATGCTGCAAGGACTGGAATTCTGCGGCTGTAAATTGATCACACTGTCGTCAGTCGCTAAAGTCCACAGAGGTATTCCTCAGTTGTGCAACGGTGGCGGGTGATGCCGGCAAGGGAGCGGAAGACTGCTGGGGCTTTGTTTATTGCAACAGGAACTTTTGTAGGGAGCATGTGCGTGAAAGTACGGTGTGGAATAAAACCTATACTCCTTATTACATTTATGACCCATCATTCTTGCATGATAGAGCAAGGTGCTTTTTGCTTAGGGGTATGAAGGTGGGCTTTGCATGCAAAAGACTGCAAGTTTCATCTGCAGCGTCTAAGTTTCATCTGCAGCGTCTCTAGAAAAAGTGAGGCTGTGAAGGATCCCTGCCTGTGACTCTGGAGAGGTTTACGTCACAGTAGACGTGATGTGGCTGGATGGCTCAAAGGCCCGGTATAAGCACCTTCCCTTGTGGTATGGATAACATTTCTGAGTAGCCTTCTGTTGACCAGTCCCAGACCTGCTTGGCTTCACCAAGGTACATGTAGCTATTTATTAAAGTGCATTCAGCCCATGCCCCAGAAAGCTTTCTAAAACCACATCCCCGCCTTCTGAATGCAAGCCACCATGAGAGAGCCACAATTTTTCTTCTTAGCCAGGAAGAAAAGCAGAGGGACAGTGATGTGCTCCATTTTACCAGGTGAGAAAAATAATATTTTTAAAGGTTCAATTAAACATTAAAACAATCTGTTTATGTAACATCCAGTTGAAGCTGGTAGCCCTGAGTCTGCAGAGGTGTGGCTTTTCTCTGGCTTCTGCTCCAGACTTTCAAGAAACCATCCATGGTGCCAGGCCAAATAGGGTTCAGCACTGAGGATAGCTCCTTGAAACTCCAGAGTAAAATCTGGAGTGGATACGCAGTCCTGCGAATGCTGGAAGCGAGGAGGGTAAAAGGAAGATGAATGCTGACACTGAACATCAGTGTTTACTCTTCACTGGATCTTGCTATTATTAGTAGTATACTCTAAAGGAGAGTGAAGTGTAAATCAGACTGCATGGGCAGAGTGCTATGGTCATAGGCAGAGTGCAAACCAGCTGGCCGGACTGTTGTAGGGCGTGATATTACGGACAAGACCAGAGACTAGTTGGAATTATCGAGAGAGATTTATTTACCTGCCGGCAGGGACCATCACTCGCTAGAGTGCGGTACCAGGCAGGGGAGAGACATTTGATTGTTATACTCTTTTACACTTATGCTTGAATGACAGTGAACAATAGGGGAGCAACAGAGAAACAATAGGGGAGAGCACATTTTGCCCATTTATCATGCAAAAGCAAGCAAGCGTGGGTACAAGGGCATAATGTCTGTGGTGGTGCTGGTCATGCTGGAGCGAAGCCTGCTTTGTGGTCAGCTTAGCATAGCGTGCACATCCGTGTTCGTGTTCTTGTCCTCATGAGAACAAGAACACTCTGACCATGCCTCTAACTTGTGATGAGCTGTGCCCTGGCTACGTGTATGATCATGCCTGATCATGAGGGGGGTTACAACAGGAAGCAGGGAGACGACCAAAGACTCTTTTCTTGACTGTTAAGCCATGTCTTTTTCTAGCAGCCACAAGAGTCCTGGAGCGGACTCCCCAGAATACCCAAAGGGTATGCCTGTCCTTTCCCTTTTGGCTCCTCTGCTGGAGCAGGAAGCAGAACACATGGCTGGGAGGTGTCTCATATGTCAGCAGCAAAGACTGTGTGATGCCAGCACAGCCTGGGCACTTGTCGAGGGATTGCCCTGAGCATGCCATGTGAATTCTTTGCTTCTAGGCTACATGGAATTGGCACGATGGAGGTTCTCCTTGACTCCAGCATGAGAGAACATGCAGTGAGCCCAGATATAGGCTATTGTAATGGAATATAAATCCATTAAATAAACAAACAAATACACATGTATTATATACAGAAGTGTAGAGTGCAGTTCACATGATCAGTTCAAAAGCTCAGGTAAGAAGAAGGGGGAGATTCCAAGGACTTGAAAGATTGTCACAAAGAGGAAGACCAGGATCTCTTCTTGATCATCCCAGACTGCAGAACACAGAATAATGGGCTCAAGTTACAGGAAGGCAGATTCTGGCTAGATATCAGGAAGAACTTCCTGAGTGTTAGAGCAGTATGACAATGGAACCAAATGCCTAGGGAGGCTGTGGGCTCTCCCACACCAGAGGCATTCAGGATGCAACTGGACAGCCATCTGAGAGGGATGGTTTAACTGGGAGTCCTGTGCTGAGCAGGGGGTTGGATTCGATGGCCTGAGAGGCTCCTTCCAACTCTACTGTTCTGTGATTCCTCCGTGTGAGAATCTGGACAGCAGACAAGGTTCAGCCAGCTGGAAAAGGAATCTGACGTAGTCTATAAGGCAATTTCCTCAGGTAGTCATGGTGCTCTGTGCACGTTTACTGGCTTCATCGTGTGTGGGGATGGCTACTGAACTCCTTTTGGACTTGGGGCAAAGAAAGCCATTTGAGTATGGGCAAACTTGAGGACAGGTGGGCGGCTGATACCATCAAGTGGCGCATGGAGGAGGTAGGAACTGGAGGTGCGTGAGAGAGCTGTGGTCCTCTTGGGTGCCTGAGCTGAGGGAAGCCCCATGAGTGGTGGCACTGCTAACCGAGGAGGGGGCCACTCACCATACCTAGTGTCTGTGCAAGCGCTGCATGGGTTCAGGAGGGCAGTATCCATCGCCAGCACGAGAGGCAGCCACCAGGGCGGTCTAACCCTTTCTCTGCATCTTCCAGGAGGCCTTCAAGCACGGAGGTGGACTCTGCCAAAGGTGGTGGCTGTGATAACCAGTGGCCTCCTCCTCCTGACTGGGATTGGAGCTGGAATTTGGGCAATAGGTGAGAAGGAATATTCCCAAAATATGAAAAAAATTAAAAGAAGTGATCTCCAGTGCTGGTCGCCCTCCTGTGCCACGCATGTATGAAAGCTAGCTAGTCTGGTAGTTGAATTTTTCTTTAATGTTGGACATGGGACTGCATCTGCTGCTGCACCTGAAGGTTTCAGGCTAGCTTAGGGGGTGCAGAACAGGTCACATGCCCCACGGCTCTCTCCTCCAACACCTTGCTGCCACCTCCCAGCATCTGCCGCCTGAGATGACCTGCGGCTGATGTGCTTTGGGTGGTGTGTACCCAAGAGAAGGCTGCTCCGCCCAACCCTTTCTGCCCAGGATGTCTGCTCCAGCTGCACCCAATCGCTGCTTCTTAAAGAGCTGCAGTTTCTTGCAAGCATCTTGTGGGAAACATCTGGGAGTTTAACACTCAACTGCTACTAGCCTAGAGCAAAACCTGGAGCAGACAGAGCACGTACAGAAATATGTCAGATTTAATGCCGAGTTGCTGCTGGGGAAATTGCAAACTCTCCAGGGGTCATCTCAGGAGTGAAGTGCTGGTTCAGGGGTAGGCACCTAGTTGGGTGCATGCCAAGCTGCCCTGCCGCTCCCAGGTTTCTTTAAACACATTTTTCTACTGTTTGCTAGGATCACTTCTAAGTAAAACAAGGACCTCTGGGCTACATAATGAAGCTCAGAGACATCAGTCCAGTTTACATGCAATGGCAGCAAATTCTGGGTTATTAATCAACCAGCCCACAAGTTGCTGGGATTGTGTGCTACTGTCGTAATGAATATGCAACCTCTGGTCAGCCCAAATGGAAATTATTTTGTAAAGTGTGAACTTGGACACTGTGGAGTAATAGTTGTTTCAACAGTCCAAGTGAATCCACATTTACTTCTTAGATTAACTGAAGGTTGTTTAACCCACAAT